CAAAATATATATATAAAGTGGATAATCTCAGAGGGAAGGCTTCTTTGAAAGGTGGGATTTTAGCTAGGATTTGAGGGCAGCCAAGAGCAGAGAACCATGGACATTGGGGACAGTGAAAATGCAATCCAGATATGAAATATGCAAGGAACAGAAAGGATGCCAGTGGAAGTGGATGATAGAGCACACGGAAAGGAGTGAGTTGTCAGAAGACTAGAAATGGAGGAGAGTGCAGATTATGAAAGGCTTTAAAAGCCAAACAGGATTCTTTATCTGATCCTGGAGCTAAGAGGGAACCACAGGGGTCTGTTAAGTAGGAGGGGGACAGAATCACATTGACATTTTAGCAAGATGACTATGGGATAGAGCACTGGCCCTGGAGTCAGGAGGACCTGAGTTCAAATCCAGCCTCAGACACATAATGCTTACTAGCTGTGTGACTCTGGGCAAGTCACTTAACCCCAAGTGTCTTGGCCCCCCCCCAAAAAAAGCAAGATGACCAATAACTGAGTGGACTAGAGGAGAGAGACTTGAGGCAGGGAGAATAACCAACAGGCTATTGCAATATTTCAGATGGGGTGGGAGTGGGTGGGGAGATGAAGTAAGGGGTTTTTTTTTTAGCATCAAAGAGAAGATTTAGTTCATGTCCCTTATCTTACAGAAGAGGAAATTGGGACCCAAAGATGTTCAATGACTTGTTCAAAGTCTTAAGGGAAGTAATAACCAAAATTCAACCAATCCAACTCTTGCTTATGTTGTTCTGCCTTGATTTCCTCATTTGTAAAATGGGATTAATAATATTTGCACTACTTACCCCACTTAGCTGTTTTGAGGACCCAAATGAGACGATCACACAAAGCTTAAGTCTCAGGCTTTGGACGCAGAAAGGATCCCAGTTTATCTGGAGGGATTTTCTTACATATTTTCTTATAGTCACTATTCAGGAAACTTGGGGAAATCCAATCATAGGAATCCCCAGCATAATTGAGATTTCTTTCCCCACTTAAAATCAGAGTTCACAGTAATTTGAGTGTTCAACTTCTCCCACCAAGCTGCTCTGTGTTCCTCTCCCCTGCTCTCCTCCCCCTCTTCCATTTTGCTCCTGAAAGATGTGGTTCTCAACAGAGAAAGGCCAAGGCCATGCTTTCGCTACCAGAATTGTGATTTTGGAGGAACTTCAACCCCAAGTTATATTTACAAGTGTGTGGGGGGAGGAGGGGAATGGCAAACTTTAGAAGTGGAAGGACGCCTACAGCTTCCTGTTATTTAAAGCAAAGAGTCCTCATGTGTGGTTCTCTCTCAGTCCTATACTTGTCAGTCTCGAAAGACAAGGCCAAAATATTCCTTTTTGGTTATCTGCATACAGAAAATTCGCATCGAAAATTTGTTGCCTGTTTACTCTCTGGTCCATCTATTTATTTATTGTAATCTCTGTTGTATAGATGAGGCCCATTGAAGTTTGATTGACTATCCCAAAGTCCTGTTGCCCTTCAGTGACAGAAGAGGTACTAGAAACTAGGTCTCTCGACTTCTTGCTTGTGGTTTTTTCTAATTTATTGTGCTCCTTTCCTGAAGAGAAGGATGACATATTTTGAAATACTTGTTTAGAAAAGGATGTAATCCATGTCAGCCCCATTCCATTAGGGCTGTTTCCTCCCCAAGAAATTACTCTGCATATTTTGTATCTATGTTTATACGTTAATGTTTTCCCTAAAAAGAATAATAACATGGGCACTGTGCAAAGTGCTTTACCAATATCTCCTTTGAGCCTCACAACAACCCTAGGAGTTACGTGCTGTTATTACCTACATTTTACAAATGAGGAAACTGAGGCAAAGAGGGTCACACAGCTGTGAAGTGTCTGAGACTGGATTTGAACTCGGGTCTTCCTGGCTCCAGGCCCAGGAAATCTATCCATAGACTATTGAGCTGCTCTAGGTTTCTTGAAGAAGGAACTGTTTCACTTTGTCTTTTATATTTCCGTTGCCTGGCATCTATTAAGTGCTTAATGAATGTGTTTTGAACTGAATCCTTAAGAGTGCTCTGTCAAAAGACTCTTTTGGCTAAGAGCCCAAGGGTGTTGTTAAATCAGTCAACGAGTATTTATTAAGAGCCAAGGGATGTCAAGCAGGATCTAGAGCTTCACAAACAAATAAAATAACCCATGCCCTCAAGGAATTTAAATTCCTCATTTATTGTTGTTGTTGTTTTGGGGGGGTGGGGAGGCAGTGCTTAAACAGACACAAAGAAAAAAGTTTTGGGCCGGGGGAAGCACTAGTAGTTGGGGATTGGGAAAGGCCACATGTAGGCGTTGGCCCTTCACCTGAGCCGGAAGAATGCTGGGGACCCCAAGAGGTGAAGGTGAACAGGAGGTGAATCCAAGGCTTGTGGCCAACCAGTGCACAGGCACAAAATAAGCAGATGGAGTATTATGCAAGCAGGATGACAGTAAGCCAATGTGGCAGACTGAGAGTTGCAGAAAGGAGAGTGATGTATAATTAGATTGGAGCCACATTGTAAAAGGCTTTAAGGCAAGAGTTGATCTAGAACAGCAGTCCTTAGTCTGATGTCTGTGAACTTTAAAAAAAAAAAAAAACAAAGCAGATTTTGATTGATAGCCTTTGTTTTTAAGTCATCTAAATTTCTCCCAGTATCCCTGCCTTTCCCTGGGAACCACCATATAACAAATAATATTTTTTCAAGAAGAAAAAAAGAGGAAGAGAAAAAGAATAGCAAAATCAATCAGTGCACCAAAAAAGTCTGAAAATATATGTAATAATCCACATCCATAGATCTCCACCTCTGTAAAGGGGAGTTTTTTCCTCATGTCTCTTCTTTGGGGTCATACTTGGTAATTCTGAATTCACTTGCAGTTGTGTTATGGCAATTGTCTTTTCATTTACATTTTTTGTGTGTATTGTGTATTTTGTTCCCTTGGCTCTACTTGCTTCAGTCATGTAAGTTTTTCTATACTTCCCTGTATTCTTGATATCTGTCATTTCTTACAGTACAATAATATTCCATTACATTCATATATCACAATTTGTTTAGCCATCCCCTAATCAGTGGATATCTACTTTGTTGCCAGTTTTTTCTACCATGAATAATGCTGCTGTAAATATTTTGATGTATACAGGAACTTATAAATTTCCTCTTTGAGAATATATGCCTAGTAGTGGAATCTCTGCAAAGAGTGTGGACATTCTAGTTACTTTATTTGCATAATTCCTAATTGCTTTCAAAATGATTGTACTGATTCATAGCTCTACCAACAAAGTACTAGTGTATCTATCTTCCCACAATCCTCCAACACTGACTATTCCCACAATCCTCCAACATCTGTTATTTTTACCAGTTTGCTGGGTATAAGATGAAACTTTAGGGTTGTTTTGTTTTCTATTTCTCATTATTAGTTATTTCAACCATTCTTGCATGATTGTTAATAGTTTATAATTCTTTGAGAACTGTTTTTTCATATCTTTTGACCATTTATGTATTGGGGAATTGCTCTTGTTATAGTCACATATACATGAGCTAGCTAGCTAGCTAGATATGTTTACCTCTATATCTTGGATGCCAAACCTTTATATGAGAAATTTAATGCAGTTTTTTCTTGTTTGGTAGCTTTCTTTCTTATTTTAGCTGCATGAATTTTGTTCAAAGAACAAGCTTTAAATTTTTAAAATATTTTTATAACTATTTCAGTGTAATTGATTTCCTTGGTAATCCTATGTATTTTGTTTTATGCATTTAAAAAAGTTATTCTGAGAAGGTGTCCATAAGTTTCATCAGACTGTCAGACAGGTCCATGACACAAAAAAGGTTAAGAACTCTTGGTCTAGTGGCATGGTGGTAGAACACTGGCCTTTGGGGTCAAAAGGGCCAGAGTTCAAATCCAGCCTCAGACACTTACTAACTGAGTGAGCCTGGGCAAGTTACTTAACCCTGATTGCCCTTAACAAAAAAAAAAAAAAAAAAAAAGAACCCCTGGTCTAGAAGCCAAAAAAAACCAAAAACAAACAAACTGCTGAAGTTTTTTGGATCAAGATGATGTTTGCCTTTTGGGGTTGGTATTAGAAATTCTAGTACTGGTTTTGCCATTTACTAGCTGAGTGAACTAAAGCAAATTTCCAGTCTTTCTGGGTGTATTTCTTCCTCTATAAAATAAAGGTGTTGAATTAGATGATTTCCAAAATTCTTTTTAGCTCCAAATTCTACAATTCTATCTCATGGACTGTTTGGTCATCTTAGAAATATTGTAGAAGGAACAATTTTCCAAACTAAAAAGAAAAGTATTCAGTTCAAAATTTGTTTTCCTTTTTAATCTATTACTATAGTATAAAGTAGGAAAGTGACTTATTTTGGAGTATTTTTGAGTAAATGAAGAATCAGTTTGAACAACAGGGTTTAGAGAAAATGAATTAGTTGTATGTATATAATTCAAAGAAAAAAATGAACTTAAATCATTTAAATTTTTATCTCCTTTGTCTTTTATTCTTGTTCACAGACAAAAATATAAGAATTATAAGTCAGCAGAAATATTTTTAATATATTCATATAGCTACATGTTGATAATGGCTGATATTTATACATGCTTTCTCAGTTGATACAACAACTTACAGGTACCATAGGTATTATCTTGACAGGTGAGGTTAAACAGCTATTAAAGTCTAGAAGGTCTCTCCAGGCTTGAAATGCAACATTCTACTAACACATACCTAGTTGCTTTTTCATATTTTGCATCAAAAGTTCTCAAGCACGTGTACAATTTTTCAATAAATGTAAGCTTATCTCTAGGGTCTAAAGAATTAGCCCACCCTAACAGCTATATGTTAACAGGTTCTCACTAAATTCAACCATTGTTTTCTCTTGACTTCCCTGTTGCTATTAATAACACTACTATTGGGGCAGCTAGGTGGCACAGTGGATAGAGCTCCAGCATTGGAGTCAGGAGGATCTGAGTTCAAACCTGGCCTCAGACACTTGACATTTACTAGCTGTGTGACCCTGGGCAAGTCATTTAATCCTGATTGCCTCACCAAAAAACAAACAAACAAAAAAAAAAACCCTATTACTTTCTCAGTCACCCATGCTTAGTCATCTTTGACTCCTTTCCTAGCTAATCCATTGGAAGTTCTATTAATTCTACAGAATTCATGCTTTATATCTAATCCAGTCATCCACACATGCCATCTTCTTGCATCCTGCCACTTGGAGCACCCTCTGACCTTTCCAGGGGTACTTAATCAACTGAACTTTGGAACTCTTACTCTAGAGCTAAGCTGTCCTGATTGATGAATGAGAGAAAACTCACATAGCCCACCATATCTATCCAGTCCCACACCAACCCTACCATACTCACATCTCACCCAGATGTTCACTGCAATCATCAAATAAATAGCATTGCATGTGGAAAGGATGTGTTAATGGACTCCCATATGACTTCATTCAACATCTCTTTGAATTCCCAGGCCAAAGCACCCTTCCCTGGACAAATCTTCCCTATAAGTTTTGTCTTTTGTAAATTGTTAATTTACTATAAATAAGCTCTTTGAAGGCAGGGACTGCCTCACTCTTGTACTGTATTTGTATACCCAGCATTTTGCACAGTGCTTGGCACATGGTAAATAAATTGCAAATAATTGCTTTTCATTCTGGTTTGTCCATTTTTCTCCTTTCGGTTTACACTAATAGCCTCATTTGTGCCCCTCCCCACTTTACCTCTTATCTGGACTATGATATAGTTTCCTAACCAGGCTTACTGCCTCTAGGCTCGTTCCACCTAGACCCATGCTTAGCTGTTGCTGCCACATTATTCCATATTGTACACCCTCTGATCCCATCACTCCTCTGAAGCTAAAGAACCTCAGCAGCTCCCCATTATATACCACGTCAATGAACTCCTTAGCCTGCTATTCAGAGTCCCCTAAAATGTGGCTTCAACTTCTCTTTCCATCCTTATCTCAGTACTTTATTTCATCTACTATGATCCAACCAAACTTGACAATCTGAACATATTCTGAGGGATTTTTTTAATGCCTCTGTTTTTTCTGTTCCCTATGCCTGACATTTCCTTCACTCCCTTAGCCTTGCGTTTCCTTTCATCCTAATATCCACCTATTGAAATCCTACCCATTCTTCAATGTCCAGGTCAAATTCTACCTTCTCCATAAAGCTTTTCCTGTCCCTTGACAGAACATGTCACCTTTTCCTCCTCAGAACTCCCTGAGGAAAAGTCCCTTTTCTTCCCTGAACTCCCTGTACATCTCTTAGACATTTTTAATAGTCTATTTTGCACTAGTTAATTTTATATACTTGATGTTCACTATTAAATAGTGAAATTTGAAAGGTAGGGGGCTTTGTATGATTTATCTTATCTTCCGTAGTGCCAGACAGCACAGTACAGTACTGTACAGTAAATCCTTTAATTTATTGAATTGAATTCAGTGTTTCCTCTCCAAGTAGAAAATGGCTTAGAGGCACCAGATTTGATATCTGTATCAGTAATGCAGATGGTCAGCCTTATTTGCTTGGCAAACTTTCTCGTGACTTCCTTTGCCTTGGTGTTACCATGGTGCCTTATTTTAAAAAAAGCGACATTCTCGTCAGATTGCACCACTCCCTCACTCTTCCACTTCCTGGTGTTCCTATATTTATTCTAGCCAATCACAAAAGTAAATAAGAGGAATGGAAACCCAATTGCTTACAAAAAAAACATTTTCAGTGTAAGGAAAATTAAAAAGCCTTTTTTTTTTAACAACTGGATCAAATAACATAAGTAAGTGATAATGCTAAAAAAAAACCTTATATTCCTTATATTGTAGAAAAGGAATGGCAGTTGCTGTTGTCTTTAGTAGAGACAGGTAAAATGTAATTAAGAGGTTATAAGTTACCTGATTTTGCTCTAGTGGATTTAGTCTTATTATAATATGAGCAGATTAAAATTGTATTATAGTTAACAGTATCTCAGAATGCTGCCATTTGTAGCAACCTCTGTAGTTAAGTATAAATGTTCCCCAATGAGAGATTATGTTTTCAATTCCTGAGAAGCACATTGTAGTGGGCAATTGCTTAATTCCTAAATTTCAGTAGTTTCTACATTTGTGTGTATCTGTAGATTTATTTCCTTTTTTCTAAAACCAAACTGATTGCAAAACATTTTCTGAATATAAATAAAAGTGGATCAAGAATTTTAAAAAACCACATAACATTCTCTTGAATCTAATCTATAATGACCAAAATAAATATTTAAAAATTTTTTAAAAGCGACTTAGTAATCTAAGACTATTTAAATGCCTTGTGGGGAGCTACCTGTGCTTTAGAGGTAGTCTTATTTTCTCAATTTTTTTCTAGCCAGCACACAATGATTTTTACAAATTAGATTTACTAATAGTGTCCATTTAAATACATTTTGAATGTGTATTTACTTAATTGTAGTGAAACCTAACAGTTAGGTTGTCTTATTTCATTTGAGGTTTCAGGTAGCCAGCGGAAAGATGTAAGATAAAGCTTGGTTAGCAGGAGGTTCAAAGTAGACTATCTCAAAGGTGTTCAGCAAGAATCCCCAAACTCCCTCTTCCCCAGATCAGAGTTTATATCCCCAAAGAATTTTGGAGTTGATTCAAGCTGCAATGACTCCCTGTCAGACCAGAGAGGTAGCCTCCCCCTTTCTGCCTAACACAGTGCTTTGTATATAGTAGACATTTGGTAAATATTAAAAGAATGATTATAATGTTTATCAGCAAATTTACCATATTAAATAGATTGACATGCAGTCTGCAGTTAAACTATAAGCTCCTAAATGTGGTAAATGCTAGTGCTAGGAATTGAATGCTTTAATGTTTGTTTCCCATCTTCATTCCTCACCCCACCCCAAACCCCCATCAAAGAAAAAAATAATTGATGTCCATTCTTCACTGTATTTGGAACATAAAGCCAAAATGGTTTAAAAAAAAAAAACGCCAAAAACTATGCTAAGCAAAATTCTTGATTATATCTTTGATAGAGTGGTTACCTCACATTTAAGCATTTTTTTCCTCTTATTCCACTGTTTACTGTTCTTTTTCTTCTGGTTCTATCTCAACTTCCTCTGCCTCCTCATGCTTCTCCAGGATTGCTCTGGCATCTTGGTATTGTTGATATTCTGATACCAAGTCATGGATGTTACCTTCTGCTTCTCCAAATTCACTTATGTCCATCCCTTCACCAGTGTACCAGTGGACAAAGGCCTTCCTTTTGAACATAGCTGAGAACTGCTCAGAAACCCTGATAAATAGCTCCTGAATTGCAGTGTTATTCCCTATAAAGGTGGCAGCCATGTTTAGCCCCCGTGGTGGGATGTCACATACAGCAACTTTGACATTGTTGGGAATCCACTCCACAAAATAACCGCTATTTCTGGTCTGTATCATGAGCAACTGCTCATCTACTTCCTTGGTGGACATCTTGCCTCGAAAAATACAGGCTACGGTTAAGTAACGGCCATGGCGAGGGTCACAGGCTGCCATCATGTTGCGGGCATCAAACATCTGCTGGGTGAGCTCAGAGACCGAGAGAGCCCTGTACTGCTGACTGCCACGGGCTGTCAATGGGGCAAAGCCAGGCATAAAAAAGTGGAGCCGGGGGAAAGGAACCATGTTCACTGACAATTTTCTCAGGTCAGCGTTAAGTTGACCAGGAAAGCGGAGGGAGGTGGTGATCCCACTCATTGTCAAGGACACCAAGTGGTTGAGATCCCCATAGGTGGGAGTTGTCAACTTTAAGGTTCTGAAGCATATATCATAAAGGGCTTCATTATCGATACAGAAGCATGCATCGGTGTTCTCAATGAGCTGGTGGATGGAAAGTACTGCATTATATGGTTCTACAACTGTGTCAGACACTTTAGGGGAAGGCATTATGCTAAAGGAATTCATAATCCGGTCTGGATATTCTTCTCTGATCTTATTCATGAGGAGAGTACCCATACCTGATCCAGTCCCTCCCCCCAGTGAGTGGACTATCTGGAAACCCTGGAGGCAGTCGCAGCTCTCGCTCTCATTCCTGACCACATCCATCACATGTTCAATCAGTTCAGCTCCCTCCGTATAATGGCCCTTTGCCCAGTTGTTGCCAGCTCCCGAATTACCTGTAGCAAGAGAAGTCTTCAGGGTTACTACACCCAGCATGGGAATGAGAAAAGCCAAGTGAAGAGAAAGTGGCAGTATTATTATGCATTTGTGGAATAAGTTTGCATTTACTCCAATCAATGCCTTGGCAATACCTACCGTGAACAAAACTGTCAGGTTGAAAGAGGGTTCCTAATCTGCTAGACCGGATGCTATCCATGGTACCAGGTTCCAGATCCACTAAGACAGCACGGGGCACATACTTTTTAGCTGGTTTGGAAATAGAAAAACATTTCTAAAGGTTATTGTTTTTGTTAGCATAAATCCATTGGGTGTTTATGTAGATGACCAATCAACAAGCATTTATTAGGCCCCTACTTTGTTCTATGAATGATGATAAGCACTGAGGATACCAAAAGGAGGAAAAAGACCAAAAGAAAACAGCCCTCAAGAAGCTTATAGTCTACTAGGGGAGTCTACTGCGATCGTAGGACTCCAGAAAGAGTATAGGAAGAGACTTCAGAGTCATCCCTCTTATTCTTTTCTATAGTACAAAATTGCTTAAAATCTCTAAAATGATATGTCATTTCATCATTGTGGGAACTCCTTCATCAAGGAAGATCCCAACCAGACTACATAGCTTAGTAGATACATCTCATCTTAGTTGCTTAAAAATCAGAGAAGACTGACCCATGACCCTAGAGCTAGTAAAGTAAGCACCAGAAATACCATTTTAATTCCAGTAAAGACCTTTGGACTCCAAATCCAGTAGTCTAGTTTACATACCACACTGCCTCTCTACCAAAAATTTTCTTCTAATCATTTCTTCTTCCATTTTCTAGCATTTGCAATTCAGAGGATATGATTACCTCTCCATGGAAAATTTTCTAATATCTAACCAATTCATAACAAAATGACAATGCACAAATACCTTAAGCATACTTTTGCACTTTGTACCTAATTCAATGAACATATATTAAGTGCCTACTGTATGCAAAGGAATTTCAGATACTTCTTTCTCAGTTTCTGGGCTTGGGGTTGGGTTTGTTGATTGTTTTGGAAATCTGCCTGCCTGCCATTGTTGGTACTTGATAAGTGCTTGTCAATTGATTGAATTGTCACTTAGGTATCCTCTGTGTTTTTACATCTACAGGGCATTAGTTTGTTCCTTTGTCTGCCTTTGCCTGACTCCTGGAAGGAGTTTAGTGAAAATGCGTGCCAGTAGTGTACCATAGGCTTCATTGTAGTAAACATTGATTCTCTCAAGCTGCAGGGCTGAGTCTCCATGGTAGCTTCCAGTGGCATCAATTCCATGCTCATCCCCAATCACTTCCCAGAACTGAAAGAAGAAAGAGGATAGATGGACTCATGACTCCAAACTATTTCACATTATACCCCCCCCAACCCTAAACCCATGTACTCCAGGTTCATCCAGTTGGCCTACTTGTGGTTCCCTGTGCACATTCCATCTCCATCCTCTTTGCCTTTACATAGGCTTTCCTCTGTTCCTGAAATATCCTTCCTTCCTGCTCTTTACATTTTGAAGCCCTTGCTCTCTTATCTTATAGAGTATTAAGGCTCAAAGGGACCTTAAAGATCATCTAGCCTAATGCCCCCTTCCTTTCTTTTTTTTTAATAGGTGAAGAAACTTAAGACCTATGGAGGTTAAGTCATTTGCTCAAGGTCACATAGGTACTGAGTGGTAGAACATAGGTTGAAATTTAGATTTTCTGACTCCAATCTAATGTTCTTTCCAAAATAGCAATAATTCTAATTGTAAAGCTTTATTTTTTCTAAGATATGACAAGTTATAGAACTGTTCCTTGGAGAGAGTTAAAAAGGATTATGAATTACATAAGTACCACAAAGTAAACATGCATTTACCTTTTTTATAGACTCAAAATAATACCCATTTTTTAATGTACTGACCATTAGACCACACTGCTGCTCTGGAAAAAGAAAGAAGGCCATATCTAGAGCTTCCATTCATTTGTGGTCCTCTGTTGTCTTATCTCTGAACCTCAGAACTGTGAGGTTAAGGCAGCCCCACCCTCCTGTGTCTGTGTTTTAGTTTTAAATGCCCTATGACTGTTCCCTATAATTTTGACTTTTATTAACAGGAATACTCTTTGTTCCATTTTTAAAGTGCACCTGCCTCTAAAGGTCACAGAAATAAAAGGCAAATATTAAAATATGGCATGCTTAAATCACCTAAGTAAAAACAAAAATAAATTATCAGCTGGTACTCATTAGAATCAGCCATCTCAAAATTTTAACATTTGACACATTGAGCCTGTTTTTTGTTGCTGAATGTTAATAAACTAAATAGGAAAAATTTTGGTGAAATTTGTTTGAAGAAAAATGAATGAAAATTGCCTTCCAAAATCTACTACAGTAAAATAATAATTCAGGTATTGTTCAGCAAAACTTGTATTTCAGATTGGCATACTTCCTCCACCAACTTTCAGAAACTGATTTTGAAATAAATCACTTTTCTTCAAATGTGATGAAAAGTACCATGCTATATATAATAACCTGTTGAGGTATAACTATAATAGAAAGTTTTATATAAATTATATTATGTCATGTATGTACATGTTATACAAATTTAACTACAAATTATATTAGCCCAATTGTCAAATTTTTTCAAATTTGTGGGTCATTTTTACCTTTGTTTCAAATACTAGACATATTCCTAACTAGCCTAATCAATAAATATTGTGCACCAGTGCTAGGCTCATGATATTTGGATACTATTCATCAATCATAGAAATACAGTATTCATAATCAAATTCATCTTACCTTGGATCCAATCTGGTTCCCACACTGGCCAATCTGAATATGTACAATTTCACGCATTTTTTTTCCTTGTACCAAAGTTATGAGACTCTAATGAAATCCACAAATTCCAGGAGAACCGCTCTTCCCAAACTCACCAGTTAGAAGCAATGAGAGTCATTTCCAAGGAGTGTTTTAGAATGACCAAACTGCCCTTCAAAAATGAGCACCAAGGGTGTGACCCGTTCCGAATCCCCCTCAGCCCCCCCTCCTTTTCTGCCTATCTTTTTTTGAGAAGGGGTTGTTTTTTCCTTTTCTGCTACTTACTGTTACACTCAATATTGTCCAGTCATTTCCCAGCCTAAAGCAAAATGCTTAAATGTACACTATTACTTGGGTCAGTACTGGTGGTTGTGTGGAGGCCATGGTTGTCTTGAAGCATTAGTGTTGGATTTTATCTCCCAGACTATAAGTTGAAGGATGTGGCATGAGATTGTTATGATTCTCCTCTGGTGTCTTTAGATGGACAAACTTTATCTATAGATTTAGTTTCTCTTGCTACTGAACCTGGGTAGAGACCAGTTTTGAAAGGGGGGGGATTTTTCCCTCTTTTGTTTGGATGAAGTGACTTTAATTTAAAAGAAAAAAAGTCCCTTTGCCCAACCTCTAACCTCTGTCACTGTATCTTCTGTCTCCACTAAATAAATTAACAAAAGGTCAAATTGATTACCAACCCAAGTTTCACTTCCTTGCCTGAGGTGTGATTTCTGTTGGAGTTTCTCATGTTTTGTTTTATTGCCATTTAGTGAAGATGGAGCCTAGGCTCACAAATTTGTAAAAAGTAGCTTGTTATATAAGGAAACAGATAGTGGAAAGGAGGCAAAAGAGGCTTGGGTTGGGTCAAGGAAATGTTTTTTGCATGTGGGAAAACTGGTCATTTTAGTGAGAATCATAATTCACATGTGCTCTGACCCAGAAGATTAAAAGGTGAGTGAACAAGATTTCCCAATGTTCAGATGCAGAGGAAAGAACACAAGGTTTAAAATCAGAGAACCTGGGTGCAAAGCCCAGCTGTGCTACTTTGGACTATGGCAAAGTGACCTTCTGGATTGTTTCTTCACGTATGACATGATGGGTTAATTCTATGATGCAATACAATTACTACCAGCATTTCCATGTTTCACTGTTTCCCAAGCATCCTCAAGGTTGGAATAGAGTCTGCAGAAATAGACATTTTAAAAGGAGTATTGTTTTCTTGCCCATTTTCTTACATCTCCATAACATATCTTCCTGTCTAACAACTGGTGAATATCTTAGCTCAATCTTGTTAAATTTCAAGTGCAAATTTAATTCATATTTTAGTTTCAGGAGCTCCCCAATCTTGACCACAGCTGCCTTTCTTACAGATCCAAATTTGCCACACATCCCTAGCCTGTGTCAATATATTAATGACCCCTATATGCTTTGGGATCCTGACTGATAGGATGACTATTTTGGAAGCATAATTTTATAGGAAATAATAATGATAGTGCTTGGTACATAGTAAGTCCTAAGGGCTTGTCGATTTCTAATAGTAATCAATCCAGCTACTACGTGCTAGCTGTGACCTAGGGCGAGTCATTTAACTTCTCTCTGCTTCCAGTTTCCTCATCTGCAAAATGGAGATAAGAATAACACCTACTTTACAGGATTATTGTGTGGACCAAATGAGTTAACATATGTAAAGCACTTTGCAAACCTTGAAGTGTTATGTAAGTCCTAGTTATCATCATCATCATCATCATCATCATCATCATCATCATCATCATCATCATCATCATCTGGACTTTGTAACAAAAGAAACTGAAAATAATGGAAGCAAAGATGAACTTTGTCTCATAATAGACTATGAGAATGAGGTTGTTTTTTTTTTCTTCATTAACTGTAAACAAGTTCAGTGTATTAGAGGACAGATTTTACAACTTTTGTACCAAACTACAGAATGTCTTCTGTTCCTAGTCCTGGAATGATCCTTTCCCTCCATTTCCTATCTCAAAACCTTATCTGACCTTCAAGGTCTAACCCAAAATGCTACCTCCTCCACGAAGCTTTCCCTGATCCCCACCAGCCAGAAGTAAGGGCTCCTTCCTAAAAACTCATCCTACACTTTGTTCACACCTTTCTTCTGATACTCCACATTGTGTCTCTTTGTATTATGGCTATCTGTGCCTATACCTCATTTCTCCTGCCACATTGTAGACTTCTTTAAAAAAAAGTTTTATTGATATCTTTTATTTTCAATATTTTATATATTATGTTAACATTAATATTTATTTATGTATCCTAAAGGCAGCTAGATGGCACAGTGGATAGAGCACTGAGCCTAGAGTCAGCAAGACCTGAGTTGAAATCCAGCCTCAGATGCTTCATAGCAGTGTGACCCTGAGTAAGTCACAACCTCTGTTTGCCTCAGTTTCCTCAACTGTAAAAGGGGGCTAATAATAGCAGGGTGTAAGGTATAAGAAGACTTGGGGAAGGCCGGGAGGAAAAGGTTGTCTACAATAGGTGCTTCCACTTTCTCTCCTCTCACTCTTGTGTTAACCCCTTACAATTTGGCTTACCATTCCACCACAACTATTCTCTCCAAAGTTACTAAAGATTTCTTAGCTGCTGCATCCAATGGCCTTTTCTCAATCCTCATCCTCCTTCACCTCTCTTCAGTCTTTGACACTGTCATCAGTCTCTCCTTGACACTTTCTTTACTCTACGTTTTTAGGACGCCACTCTCTCCTGGTTTTCCTCCTGCCTATCTGACCACTCCTCAGTCTCCTTTGCTGGGTCCTCACCCAGATCACACCCTCTAACCACAGGTGTCCCTCACGGTTCTGTCCTGGGCCCTCTTCTCTTCTCCCTCTATACTGCTTCACTTGGTGATCTCATCAGATTCCCATGGATTTAATTACCATCTCTGTGCTAATGATTCTCAAATCTACCTATCCTGCAACAGTCTTTCTGCTGACCTCCAATCTCTCATCTCCAACTGGATGTCCAATGGACATTTTAAACTCAATGTGTCCAAAACAGAACTCCTTATCTTTCCTCCTAATCCTTCCCCCCTTTCTACCTTCTCTATTATTGTAGAGGACTACACTATCCTCCCAGTCCCTCAAGCTCACAACCTAGGAGTCATCCTGTGGATTCCCCACTATCTCTCACCCCCATCCTCATGTCCAATTTGTTGCCAAGGCCTGTCAATTTCACTTTTATAGCATCTCTCCTTTATGGCCCCTTCTCTTCTCTGACACTGCCCATCACTCTAATACAGGCCCTCATCACTGTAAGCCTGGACTATTGCAACAACCTGGAGGGTCTGCCTGCCTCAAGTCTCTCTCCACTCCAATCCACCCTCTATTCAGCCACTAAAGTGATTTTCCTAAAGTGCAGGTCCAATGAGCACAACACCCACCCCCACCCACCCCCAATAAACCCCAGGAGAAAATACCAAATGCTCTGTTTGGCATGTAAAGCCCTTCAAAAACCTAGCCTTCTCCTACCTTTCTGGTCTTCTTATGCCTTTTTCCTTGACTGCACTCTTCAATTCAGTGACACTAGCTTGATGGGCTGTGCCCATTTCTCAGCTCCAGGCATTCTCTCTGGCTGTCCCCCATATGTGGAACACTCTTCCTCCCCTGGTCTAACTACTGACCTCCCTGGTTTCCTTTAAGTGCTAACTAAAATCCCAACTTCTACAGGCAGCCTTCCCCAACCCCTCTTGATTCCAGTGCCTTCCCTCTGTTAATTATTTCTTAATTATCCTGTATCTAGCTTGCTTTGTATATATTTGTTTGCATGTTGTCCTTCCCATTAGATTGTAGGACAGGCACTGTCTTTTGCCTCTTTTTGTATCCCCAGTGCCTGGCACTTAGTAGGCCCTTAATGTTTGTTGAATGATTGATTGATTGATTGATTGATTGAATCTGATCATCTCCCAGTCCAGCAGCCCTGTCAAAAAAAAATTTTTTTTTAAATTAAAAAAAATGACCTTTTTTGATGAAACTATCTTGATTCTTTAATCTCTCTCTCTGTCTCTTTTTTTTTTTTTTGAGAGGCAATTGGGGTTAAATGACTTGTCCAGGGTCACACAGCTACTAAGTGTTTGAGGTCACATTTGAACTCAGAAAGATGAGTCTTCCTGACTCCAGACCTGATGCTCTATCCACTGTACCACCTAGCTACCCTGAATTCTTTTTATCAAACTATTCTGGCTCTTTTTAATGACTTTGATTTTCCAAATTTACTAACCATTCATTTTATAATATATTCTACAATTTTGTTAGGAATTTAAAATTAAGCCATCTCTGTGGCCTATAGTTTGCAGACTAAATAAACTCCATTCTCTTCTTTATTTTGAAAATAGGTATATTTGTCCTTCTCTGGTCTTTGGACAGCTAGGTGGCACAGTGGATAGACTACCAGGCCTATAGTCAGGAAGATTCATCTTCCTGAGTTCAAATGCAGCCTCAAACACTTACTAGCTGTGTGACCCTGGACAAGTCACTTAACTTGGTTTGCCTCAGTTTCCTCATCTGTAAAATGAGCTGGAGAAGGAAATGGCAAACCACTCCAGTATTTTGCCAATAAAACCCCAGATAGGGTCATGGAGAGTCAGACACAACTGAAAAATGATTGAACTGAAAGTCCTATGCCACTTCTCCCATTCTCCATAACCTTTCAAAAATCACTGACAATAGCTCAGGAATCGTATCCATCTATTTTGTGCTCTGGAATGTGGTTCATCTGAGCTTGGTGACCTGAATTTATCAAAAGGTGCCCAGGTCTCTCTTTTGCCTGTTTGTACTTTTCTTTTTCAGTTTTACTTTCTCTATTAGCCATCATTTTTGTCCCATCAATTCCATTCCAAAGATCATTCTCTTTACAGAGATATATTTTGCTGGATCTATGAACTTGTTAATGTGGGCACTCAACTGTCAGTGCTGATTACAAACCATCCATGCCTTTGGTGTGATTTTAAACCTTTGTATTCTTCCACACATCCTCTATAAAGGACCCACCAAATATTCTAGATGTACCTGTAGGTCTATTTACATTTTATAGGAATCAGTAAATGCACTCAGCCTATTCTTACTCTTAACACATCACTTTTATAATCCTACATTTCCTTTCTGAACTTCCCTGTGACATTTCTAGAATGTAGGTCATCATAGGAATTATGAGATAGAGAAATCAAGCAAACAAAACATGAAATTGTTCTGTCTTTTCTCCATTTTCCATGATCACTGCCCCATTATTCACCCTGAGTACCAGTCTTATTTCTGCTTTGAACTGCCTCTTTTTCCCAATATAGCTAAGAAAATTCTAGTATTTTTTTTTAATTTCTCACCATTCCTTCCCGGCTTCATCTTATTCTGAGTTTTAGCGCTCCTGACATTATTCTTACAGGATCATGCCATGCCTTTTTATTCATTCTCTGCTCATGTCTTTTAAATATCAAAGTTAGTTGATGGCTTCACTGTGTATTCACATAAGTCCCTTTAGGAAACTCTCTTTCCTGCTTCATTACAATCATTTCCTTTTGTGCCTTCAGAATTTCATTCTTGAAAACTTCCCATCCCTCCTAGGATGATTTCTTCCATAGGATTTTTGGCCAGGGGATCCCACCTATTATTTCTTTTTTTTTTTTTTTTTTTTTGCTTTTCTTTTTTGGTGAGGCAATTGGGGTTCAATGACTTGCCAGGGTCACACAGCTAGTAAGTGTCAGGTGTTTGAGGCTGGATTTGAACTGAGGTCCTCCTGACTCCAAGGCCAGAGCTCTATCCACTGAACCAGCTAGCTGCCCCTCCCCCTTATTATTTCTCTGAACCGTTTGAAGTCAGCTCTCCCAAGATTTAATGTATATTAAAGGTGTGCCCAGTTTTCCTCTCCTTTGTCAATCTTAGAGCCATTTGTAATCCTCTCTCCCTCCCTTTACCTATGTCCAATTAATGACTAAGTCTTGTCAATTCTATACCCACGATATCTCCCATACATCCTTTTCTCTTTAAATAGAAGCTGCCTCCCCCCCCCCCCCCCCCCCCCCCCCGCAATTCCAGGCTGTTATCGCCTCTGACCTGAACTTTAGAAGCAGCCTCCTAATTAGATTTCCAGTTGCTCCTCTCGCCCAGTCATCCCCTTCACAGCTGCCAAAATGATCTTCTGAAAGCAAAAGTCTAACTGTGTCACTCCCCTATTGCTTCTAGGATAAGATAATACCCCCTCAGGTTGACATTTAAAACATTACACAATCTGACCCAACTTCCCGTTTCAGCTTTATTTCATGTTACTTTCTTTCCTTCATGCACTCTGTATTCTGGCTCAAGTAATCCACTTGCTCTTCCCTTTTTATGACTTCTATGACTTTCTATCTTCCACGAACCTTTGCACACAGGCTGATCCCTGGCAATGGCAATGCCCTTTCTCCTTTCTTCTGCCTCTTTAACTATTTAGCTTCCTTCAAGGCCTGGCTCATGTGCCATCTCTTCTGGGATACCTTCCCTGATCCCCTTAGTAGTTAATACTCAGTGTCTCCCCTTCAGATCATCAGGAGTCCTGCTCATCTGTTTATGTGCTGCATCCTCCCAATAGAGAGTGAGCTCCCTGAGGACAGGGCTTGTTTTTCATTTTGTCTTGTTATCTCCAGTGCCTACCTAGGACAGTACCTTGTGCATAGTAGGTCCTTAGTAAGTGCTCAGGGGTTTGAATTCTAAAATGAAGTAGTCA